TAACCACAATCCTCATAAACTACTAACCCAACCTAACCTAACCACACTCCCACTACCAAACCCTACACTATAAACCTACCCACACTAACCTTACCACTACATCTAAACCTCCACCAAAAACCTAACCCTCATACCTAACCCAACCTAACCCTTAACCTAACACCCTATCCAATACCTACATATATATAACCCTCAATACCAACCAACACCCCCTAAACTAACCTAACTAACCTAACCACCTAAACAACTCCTAAAACCAACCCCAACCACACTAACACAATAATACCACTAATCCTAACCCAGACCTAACCTAACCTAACCTAAACTATAAACCCAACATAATCCCTAACCCCAACCTAAATAACCAAACCTACCTACCCAAACCTAAATCATAACCCACCTAACCCTTAAAACCCAACCAACCCAACCTAACCTAAACCTAACTACAAACCCAAAACCATAAAACACACCCAACGCACAACCTAACCCAACACCATAAACAAACAAACATAAAACCCCATAATTCATAACCCTACCAAACCTCCACCTAAACCATACAATACCCCTAACTCAAACCTAACTCATAACCACACCCTAACCTAACTCATAACCACACCTAACCCTAACCAAACCTACCCAACACAACCTTAACTACCTAAACCAACCATATACCCTATATTAACTCCAACCTAACCCTTAAACCCCTCACACCTAAAAATACCACCTACCATACCTAAGCTAACTAACGGCTATAACATAACAACCCTAAATAATAACCCCACATACCTCAATACCAAACCCAAACCTAAACCTAATCTAAACCTAACCTACACCCTCTAAATACCCTAATCCCAAACCTAATTCACATAACTCCCTAACTAACCTAACCCTATAACCCCAACTTCCAAACTCTACTTAAAACCTAACCCACCACCTAACCAAACCTTAAAACTACCTAACAATAACCCAACACTAACCAAACTAACTAACTACACCTATACCCCTAACCTAACCTTACATAACCTACCTCCCAATATCCATACCATAACCTACCCCAACCTCAACCTAACCTACCACAAAACAAAACCCTACCTAATCCCAACTAACACAACCCTACATCTAAACACTAACCAATACCTAACTAACCTACCACTAAAAACTAACCCAACCTCCCTACCTAACCCAACCATCCTAACCTACTAACCTAAACCCCACTAACCCTACACTCTAACAACCAATCCAAACTAAAAAACCATACATTAAAAACAACATAACCACAAAGTATTATACCTTGCAGTTGGCAACTCGATAATCACTATATACATGTTTGACCACCTCACCATATTAAATGGTTTCCGTATCTACCCTAAACTCCCACATGCTCAAACAAGCATAACCTCCACCCCTAACCTAACCCAACCCAAACCTAACCTAACCAACCTTAACTAACCTAACCTAACCTAACCTAACCTAATAACCTAACCTAGGTCACCTTCGGCAGTCCTGGCTGCGTTCGAATGCCTCGATCTCGATTCGAGGAAGTGTTCCGCTTGTCCGTCTCTGCAGAAAGATTTTATGCAGATAGAGAAACGGATCCACAAGAGGATTTTCGGCCCAAGTGGCACGGATTATATTTCCGTTTCTATAACCACTTCGTTTACTTACTGATTCTTATTTTCTTCCGCTTCTAAGGTCATTAGCGACGTGTTCAAAATATAGCGATAGGGTGAGCCTTGGTGGTGAAACGCCCTTGGTAACGAAGTTTTTGGGTTCATAAGGCGATGTTTATGGGTTTCCAGAATGGTTGATAGTCAAAACAAGTAAATGTGTCTGATATCAAAGCACTATGATGAGTATTGTGGTGATTAGGAGGAAATATGTTCGATGTCAAAGGTTGCTGAGTGCTGTCGGTTAGCATGGTAGTGAAAAGGGTAAAGAGGAAGAGCAGACGGAGTACAAAGGCCGTTCAGGACTTACACAAAGCCAGACTTTTATCCTCTTATCACGGCTCTTGCACTGGGATGTGGACAGAAGAAGGGGATGAAGAGGAGAAGGAAAAGGAGAAAGAAGAAAGGACCATGAAAAATTAGTTAGGGCGAGAGCTGAGGGCCAATTTTGGAGCGATCCCCTGCGTTGGGCCTCAGTCTCCATCTCCTACCCCCCTCCCCCATCCCTTGCCTGTTGTTGCCATGCATGTGTGTGTATGGAGGGGGGGGGGGTAGGAGAAGGAGACTGGGACCTAATGTTGGGGATCAGCCCTGCCTTGGGCCTCAGTCCTCGAGTCGGCTAATTTTGCTTGGTCTTGTCCCCTTTCCATTTTTGTTGCTTTCTCTTTTCCAACCCCTTCTACTATCCACTTCCTAAGGTGATGTGTTGAAAAGATGACAGGCAAACTTTCTGCCAGTCATGAACAGCCTGGGGGAGCCAAGGGCACGGTATTTCTGTTTGGTTGTCTATCCCTTACCCCTCAAAGGGTAGACTATTTCTCTCCCCAACATACTCCTGGCACTAATGAAGATTTTGTACCATTATTAGGGGCATTGAGACTTGCCCCTTTATCATATAGCCTACTATCACATCAGTCCAGTCCAACTCCTCCATCCAGGTCAGTACTCAATCTCCAGGAAACATTCCTCCTCTCCCAACATCCTCTACTTCATCTCCACCGCCACAACTTTCTTCAATTCCCCCATCCTCGCTTATTACTATTCTGCAGCCTTATTGTCCACCTCTCGTCAGTACAACCTCTCTCAACACAACTTCTTTTTCCACACGTCCCCGCCCTTATAATACCCTACTTCTGCAAACCTCTTGAATACTTTGTTTAGCCCAGCCTAGTGGGATCATTTTTTTTTTGTAATCCCCCACAGCCCCTTTCTCTCCTCTTCCAGCAATGCCTCCAAAAACAAGTAGGCAAAGATTCCTTCCACAGCCTGCGGAAGGAAAGGATTGTTCCCACCTTGACACAGGTAAATCCGAATCCCAAGCTCTATCTTTACCAACCCTAATTAACCCATTTCGGCCCAGCTTTATCCCTCCCTCAATAACTGCACCGGAACTGTCCCCATCTACCCGAGTAACTGCCCTGTCCACGACAAGGATTGGTAAGATTGTGAGAAACGTTTATCCGCCTGCCTCATGCTATGATGCACTATTACCACACCATTACCTCTAGAGGCCGTCGTGAGTCCCCCACCAATATTGCCACAATTCATTTTCGTTGACATGATCTCGATTTTAATGTTTGCATTGGTGGAGTGTCCCTCCCTGTCTGACCATTTCAACCTCCCTCGTCTATGTCAGAATTGTTGGCGTCTAGGCTATCATGCCAAACACTGCCGTTCCACAGCCCGATGCCATGTGCTCAGCCTGGTCATAATCGATCAAACTACTGGGGACAGTAACACACGTGTGCCAACCGTGGCTACTCCCATAATGGATTTTATTGGGACTGCCCTACTTAGAAGTTTGAGTCTGAAGTGGCAACTATCAGATTCAAATTAGCCTCACTTTAGGCAAAGTCAGACAGGAAGCAAGTCGACGAGGTTTTTTCTCTCACTTCTTACTCCAATAATGTCCTCCGCTCTACCCCTGCCCTTTCCTCCCAAGATATTTCTACATCTCCCCTAGTATCTCTTCCTTATCCCACTTCTAACACTTCCGCCTCCCAGTCGGATTTCTTTGCCATTATAAATCCAGACTCCCCAATCTCCACCACACTTCCAGGCACTTCAAATACTACTTCCACGGTACTTTCCCTTCTTCCCCCTCGCCAGCTCATCGCACAAGATCAGCTAAACGCTCCATCTCTACTTATCCCTCCACCTCTCAAACATCTGTCCCCTTACCCTCCACCTCTCAAACATTTATCCCTTCTTCTCCCACCACCTCTGAAACATCTGTCCCCTCTTCTCCCTCTTCTAAGAAAAACCTTTGTTTCTCAGACCTCCCCAACCAACTGCACTCCAGAAACTCTTGAAGACATTCAAAACTATCTAAGACCCAACATCCTCATCCATCCTCCAGTCTCTCTGATCCTATTCCTTCTACACTCAAACTAGCTGCCGGCATCCATCCATCCATCCATCCTCCTACTCATATTCGCCCTACACCCCTTCCTCCCAACACCTCTCATTCCTTCTTGTTTCACCTACATCATTTCCCCTTCCCTCCCCATTATCCCTTCTGCTTCCCCCTGGATGTGCTCTTTGCCACAACCCCCTTCCTTGGATTCTCTCCCTCCTGACATTTTCCTGAAACTTATTTAATCGGCCTCAACCCCCCCCTTCTCCTTTGCTTATCTATACCCTACTCTACAGACTTCTTTACAAAATCCCACACTTATTCCTTTGACAAAATAACCCTTATTAAACCGTACCTTCCAGAACTGCTAAACGACTTCTGATGTATACCTCATTTATTCATTATCAAACCCTGCTCTTTACCCTTTTCGTTATTGCACCTTTCTATAGCGTCATATGATCTTTGAGATATAGCACATTAACCCCAACAAAAGGATTAGGGGGGAGGGGGAGGTCTAGCACATTAACCCCAACGACAACAGCGAACAAAAGGATTAGGGGGGAGGGGGTAATGAAAGGCGTTTCTCTGTCACCGAGTGTTGCTCCTTCATCCCCATAAAATTGGAATGGGTTGCAGTATTTTTGATATGCGAGATGTTTGGTAGAAATATTTGTAGATTCATCTGGGTTATTCATTTGCGCTACCCTGTTTAATTTGTATACACGCGATTCAATATAGAATCGTGTATATTTTTCCACTTTATTAACGCATCAGCTTTTAACAACATTAGGGGAATTATCTACTTAATTATCGGTGTATGGAACCCAGTATTTGACTCACAGGATGTAAAAAAAATCCGGTTGCTTATCTACCTATATTTATTAACACTTACAACCGAAATCCTGCATATCAGCACCAGACTATATGAAATACAGTCCTTACGGATCTTCAAACAAGGATAAGAAATAAAACATCACTTGGATCTCCAGTTATTTTTAATTCAAGCTTGAAATTACAAGCCGAGCACAACACAGTAATATTGCTGCCATGTGCACACAAATATACTCAAAAGATGCATTTTTTTCTGCTAGTAGTAACTTGCCGTGGATGTGACGTCATGCGGAATCGAGACCAGTTCACAGGAACAGAACAAAGGCACCATCACATGTATGTGCTAATTCTGATAGTTGCGGCGAAGGAAAAACATTTACAGACTTCACACTCTGTACAAGAGAACAATTTAAATGAACACAAGAAAATGGGAGTAATTTCAGGAAAAAACGAATTTTCAACGTGTCATTTGTTGGAATCCAACACAAAAGATTATTTCCATTTAATGGGTCGAGATGCAGATCTGCCGTAAACCGCATTTGGGGGGAAAAAGTCTGGTACACTTAAGTTATTTGCTTGCTCCCATACAACAGTAAACATTTCCTATAATTAGGCAGGAGGAAAAGACTCAAAAATCCATGTAATATTTTTGAAAAATCGGAAAAATATACACCTTTCTTAAAAATCTTTAAAAAAACACGTGTGGATGGTGGTAATCTTAATGACACTGGCTTCCCGAATCGTCATAAAAGTTCCCCTCGCAAAAGTGCTAATGCCTGGTGTTTCACTTAAGAACAAACATACATTTATGTATAATTTTCTTTGATCGCTCACAGCTACTGCATATGTATATGAATAACATAACGAGTTTGTCTATTTTTCTTAAACTCATCTTAAGGAATGTTTACATGTTTACACCATTGGCTACTCTTATTTCCAACATAAATGAGCACAAGGTACTTGACTGATATGTTGCTGTGTGTGGTTCAAGAAAAACCTTATTTGAGATGGATATTTTTTTTTACGTTTTTTCTCTTCAAGAAGTGCCAAAGGAGGAAAAAAATATTGACCAAAAATAATCTTGGTCTTTCTTTTGAGGGGGTTAGGATTATGCACGAAATTTTTTAAACAGTGAAAACTCCTGCGATACAGATATATCTTACAGCTAAACACATACAGAAGGAACGCACAGCCAAGCAGCAGTCTGCAACATAAATTCTTATCACAGTGACAGGCACCAAATCTAGCCTCATTTCCAGAGCAAAGGAGGGAGGGTAAAACGCATTGCTCTCTTGAAGCCGTTACCCGTCCGAGCTCATTTCCTAAAAAATAGATATGCTACTCTGTGCACTCTCGTATTGTCAAAAAAGATAATCAGTATAAAAAAGAGGTTGAAGTAATTGAATAGATGTGACCATTCTTTATTGGTGTACAAAAAAGTGTGTTTGTTGACAAAACAAATGACAAAAGAGGGAGAAAATAAATGGTTTTAGTTTGTCCACTACTTCCCCGCCCCCTCCCCACTCGCCAAAATATCTTTCCAGCTTTTCTACTACTTGACTAGCATGTTTAGAACTGACTGCAATAACTGTGGCTCATTGAGATTAGAAGGCTCCCTCTCCCCTCTCCTCCCCGTATCCCTTCGCCCCTTTTCCAAAACTAAAGAAAAAAATAATGGCTGGTGGTGGTACTGTGTATTCGAAGATCATACAAAATCGTGAAAGTGAAAGCCCATCAGGATTCAACACAAACAATTATAAATAAAAATCTCAATAGATTAAATTAACCAAAAAGGTGTTTCTTTCTTCGATCGTCTAGGAGGCAGAAATTTCGGGGAGAGAAAGAGAGAGACCGAAAAAAAAGTTGCGCATCGGCTCCCGTCCCTTCTACTCGGCCGCGGAGGCGAGGGCGACGAGGGCGAAGCGGGCCTCCTCGGGGTCTCGCTCGATGAACTTGCGGCAGGCGCTGGCGGCGTCCTGGGGGGGGGAGAGAGGGTGGGGTTAGTGCTGCGGGCTTTGGAATACAATGGAAAGGTTTCTGCGGATGTCGATACCATTCATAAAGTAACCTAGATAATGTATCCTAGTATACCTTTGACGTTCTCCATGGCATCAGCAACAAGTACATCTAAGTAGTTCCGTTGGACAAGTTTCCTCTACTTCTAGCCTATTTTAATTTTTTACCAGCAACTATAAAAAAGGTCTGGGAGCACCTTCAGTGTAAAGTCCTGTGGTCATTTCTTGAGCAATCATTTCCCCAGCCTGGAAATGCACTACTTAGTTCTCAGTAGACCCAAGTAGTGCTAATGTGCAGATCACAGTAGCACTGTGTTTTGCTACGGAGAACACAGTTTTCTGTGTGTAGACGTCATTAGCTAACAGACTTTATTTATCCCTCTTACTAATCTCACGTGACTTCCATGTAGCTTCAGGTAGAGTTGGGAAATACTAAATCCCTTTAATGTGGCTAAAAGTCTGAATTTGCCAATAACTAGGGGTACCATCCAGTCAAGAGAGATTGGCTAAAAGTCTGAATTTGCCAATAACTAGGGGTACCATCCAGTCAAGAGAGATTGACCTGAGACCCATCCAAGACTGGGTTTTTTCCCTTTCATCTTTGAGGTTTTCCTTTTGCTCCTTGCTGTGTCCGACTTGGAATTCACTCTCAGAATATTTCCCTGTGATTTCTCTAAAGCCATTACAAATGTATTCTGTAAACTGGGATTCAAATATTGGAGGCTCCCTGGCTGGATGAAGGTTAATGCCAAGATTAGTTTATTTGTCTTCTTTCTATTTTTGTGAACGATTATTGTTCTTCCTATATCCCCTCTTTCCCGCTTTGCTAAATCAATTGATGAACTATATCCTTTGAAGCTGAATATTTTCCAAATGTGAGCCTGTCATTTATTTGCCCTTTTCAAGCTCTTTAAGGCACCTAAAAACAAATATTATATCCCTTCTCCCTCCCTCCCCTTCATCCGTCTGCCATTACAACTGATAACTCTGAACCTGGGTCAAGATACAAGGACATTAAAGATTAAAACCCAGAGTCGCATGCCCCGCAACATCTGTTGTGATAACACCCTTCAGAAGTGTTGGCCATGTTGAACAATAAGGCGTTTTCTCTAATATAGTAGCTAATAAAGTAAAGCTACAAGATTAAGAGGGGTCAACATTTTAAAATTGAAGCTTATTATCAATATCACCAATACTGCCATAAATTCGCTAACATAAATTACAAAGAGCTCATTGCGCCACAAACCTTTAGGAGTGTGTCTGCTGAAGTGGAGCCATGATTAATGGGGAACTTCTTACGGCCATCTGGAAGAGGGTGGAACAGGTTAATTTCCTTTACAGTTCAACAAATATCAGAAAACATTAATTTATCTCCTGTAATCGCTTGTCAAAACCAAGAGGAAAATATCTATATAGATTAATTAAACAAGAAGTGGGCTCATCACAATACCTTTCAACGTTTGCATGTCAACAGTGAGCAAACCTCTACACAAAAGGGGCGATTTTCACTCACCTAATTCATAGAGGTTACCGTCAACTTCCACAAAGGCGACGAAATGCATGTCTAGCTTGGTGTCGCGGTCGGGAGCCTGTGAAAATTTATAAAATATGAATAAAGAAGGGAAAAATGGTATATTCGGGTACAAAAAAACATAAGTGACGTAATATACATGTGTGGAAGATATAGTACATGGGGAGCATTACTCTAATAATTTAAGATAATTGAGAAACCAAAAAAACATTAAAAGCAGTATATTTTCTCTATATTTTGTCAACACGTCAAGGACATGTCTACCAATCGAAGGAAGAAGAAAAAAAAGTGAAAAACGAGAAAAAAGAGAGATGAAGAGAGAGATAAAAGATAAAAATCCTCCCTACCTCCGTCTGCCCCTCCTGCGCCGACTCCTCGTGCGCCTTGGAGATGCCCTCGTCGTTCTCGAGCGCCGTGCCCTTCTCGTCGGGGCCCATGTCCTTGGTCTTCTCCAGGAACTCCTTCAGGGGGCCGTCCTCAAGCTCGATCCTGGGAAAAAAAAAAAGGGGGGGGGGGTGAGTCAGGATCACGAATTTTTTTTTTGCACGTTTTTACTTACTTATTTAGTTTTACTGTGTTCTTCATAATTCTGTTGCTTCATTTATCATTTAATTATTGATTTTTAAAATCCTATCCCCTATTTTGCTATTTTGGTTCTCTCTTTACAGTCTCCCTTCTCCTGAATACTTTCCTCACACGAGCACTAATAAACAGATAAACTCAAGCCCTCAGCCGAGACCAGAAACAAGACCTCACAAGCATTTTTTGTAGACTTCCCTGATGTGCAAGGGAGAAATCTTGATTCTATCAATTAAGGAATGACTTGAAGGTTCTTTTGATAAAACTCGGTACAATATAAATTCTGTGTGTACATGTGCATGTGCGTGTGTGTGCCCCCCACCCCTAATCAGTGAGTTTTGCAACATAACCACTCAAAAGACAGCCAAAGCGGAAACACTCAAAATCTACGGTATCCAAACGTCATATTTCAGTACCGCGACTTCCCACTTTAACTGCCTGCCTGTCCTCCCTCCCTCTTCCCTCCGTTCTCGTTCTCCTCCTCCTCCTCTACCCTCTCTCCCTCGCCCTCCCCCCTGAGCCAGTGCCACGCGCCCGCCACACGTACTTCCCCTGGTTGTTGGCGATGGCGTGGATGAGAGCCACGGTGCCGCACGCGTTCCCGACGCACTGCTTCATGAAGTACAGGTTCTCGGAGACCTCCTGGCCGTCGGCGTTGATCTTCTCCTCCTCCTGGGCCTTAAACTCCTCCTCCTGGAAGCATAGGATCAATATTAAGGACTCAAAATGAAAAGGGTCATTATTGAATGAGCATTGTTTTGCTGCGAAGGTCCTTAAAATAAAATGTCATCAAAGTCATTGATGGAGGATCTTTTTCAGTAAAATATCCTTATAAAGTGAATACGTGTTCTAATGAAAGATTTTTAATTAAAGTAAATGAGATTTCGCTTAAAATGGATAAGAGGCAACTGCACTGTCCAACTTTCTAGAAGCTAAAATTGTGCCGACTTTATTCCGGACTCGTCCAAAGCGAACGCCTACAATGCTTTGAAAATTCCTAAAACAATCAGTGTCTACTGCCTTTAGATCTTCCACAAAACCCACTAAAATTAAGCGCTATTATACCAACACATGATCCTAAAAAATTACAAACATTAAACAGTAGAAAAAATCAATGCAACCCTAAAAACAAACAAAAAAGACAATCCTACAAACAGAATTAAAAGAAAAATCATATCAATAAACGCAACTGGAGTCAGCGGCGCCCACCTTGTCGTTGATGGGGTGCAGGAGGATGAGCGAGAGCACGGGCTGCGGCACCATGGCCAGCAGCTCCTCGTCCAGCCCGTAGACGTCGGTGCACGCCCACGCCCCGGGGACGCCCAGCCCGGTCATGAACTGGGGAGAGAAAAGGGGGGGTTAGGATTAGATTGGAAAAGGTGGAAAAATAAAAATACAAAGACGTTCCGAAAATACAAATATGACTGGCTTAAATCACTAGTGTTTGTGTATGTGTGTATGGCGTGTGCGTGTGTGCGTGACACCTCCCCTCACCCACCACATTCGCATTTCTACGTCAAATTGGACTAAGAAATAAACTGGTCAGAATTCGGGATGCTTTCCCACCCCGCCCACAGACACAGGAGATCGATTCCCAAAGGTCAGCGATCGGACCCCCACTTCCACACCCGCACAGAGCATCGCTAATACCCAGGGGGGTTACGGTGGCAACGATACGCACAAAAACATTGCACGCACAGATTTCAGGATAAAGAAGAGAAGACTAAGCAGAGACGAGAGAGGAGACAATGACAATCATATATACACATACAGATGTTTATACTCTTTAATGGCATTCCTAAAGATCTGAAGTTGCATCCTGGCAGCCGAACACTAAAAATCAAACGAAAACCAAACAAAATTACATACAACAGCAATAATAATAATAATAATAATAATAATAATAATAATAAAAAAGACCAACACCCCCACCCCCCCCCCCACCCAGCAGCAGCATCGCCCAACCGAGCGTAATGAACACAAAAAACAATTAAACCCGTAATTACACTCATCTCCGCCAACAGCTCGACGGTCACGCACAACAGGTCACGTGACCCGCCTCCCGAACGCATGGAATGGCATTGACTTCGACGTAGATGGCGGAGGCTGAAGGATAGATGCGGAAAGACAGGCTTCTCAAGAGGATAACAGACACGGGTGGAGAGGTTTCAACAGGACAGACACGAAGGTGTAGTCAAAGCGGAAATAAACAAAGAAAATGAGGAACTGAGGAAATATGGTTTTAAGTTGTCGTCGAAAGCCTGCAGTGGGTATGTGTTAACAATCGCATTTTTTCAAAACTAAGATAAACATTGGTGGATAAACGTGGGCGCGGATGTGTGTGGGTGTGGGTATGTGTGACAGCGAGTGCGTGCGTGCGCGTGCGTGTCACTGAAAACATTTTAAAGTCCGAGCTGCTTGCTCAATCAATTCCTCCCGCCAGCACATCAAGCAAATCCGGACGAAACAAGTCTCAAACAAGTTCGAACTGCCCACAACCAAGTCGGAAAATATGAACATCCATATGAATCGAGCAAACTATTTTCGACTGATGTCCGAAGTAAAATGAACGACGCCAAGAGGGAATTGGAGGGGGAATAAGAGAAGGAAGGAAGGAAGCAAGCAAGGAGGTGGAGGAATAACGAAGGTGCAACAAAGAGGGGGAAGGAGAAAGAGATAAAGGAAAGAAGGAAAAATGGGAGTTGCAGCGGGGAGGGAAGAAGGAAAGCAAGGGAGGGAGAGGGAAAGAGAAAGATAGGTGCAGCAAGGAAGAAGGGCTAGCAGGAGAGAAGAGGAAGGGAGGGAGGGCGGCGAGGAGAGAGAGAGAGAGACAGGAGAGGGAGGATAGACAGCAAACTAACAATTTACCAGTCATGTTGGTTCTGCGGCATCACACTCGCACTTACAACACCACATACAACCACAGCACAAGTGGAATTAGCAACAACACAAGGCAGGAGAAACGAGGCAAGGGATCACAAAGCAAGAATCGAGACAAAAGGACGGCGGAAATAACCCCACAACAGAAGACGAGTCGCCGGGCGCAGAAAACACTTCCGACCAGAATACAACAAACGATAAATACGTAACGAAAGGGACGCGTTTAAAAATGGACGGAGGAACAGACGCCGAATTGCCTTCCCCCCCATATATAAATAATAAAATAGGCAGTTACTAATAAAAACGCTAAATAAGGCGAATACATACATACATAAACAATTACCTTGCTTCCCGGCCGCCTTAGCAACAGGGCCTCATGAACGAAAGTAATGCAGTGTCAGAAGGATAGGCTAAGTGAAGAATATAATGAATATGAGAGAGAGAGAGAGAGAGAGAGAGAGAGAGAGAGAGAGAGAGAGAGAGAGAGAGAGAGAGAGAGAGAGAGAGAGAGAGAGAGAGAGAGAGAGAGAGAGACAGAGACAGAGACAGAGACAGAGAGAGACAGAGAGAGATAGAGAGAGAGAGAGAGAGACGAGTGAGAAGAAAGAGAAGAGAAACGAAGAGGAAAGAGGAAGGAACACCTTCCGAATAACCAACGAACCCAAGTCACCTCAAAAGCTATCTTTGCCCCCTCGCCACTTCCTGTTATTCGGCGAGTTAGCCTCATAGTTTCAAGGGCGAAAGGGGAAGCAGAAGAGAAGAGCGGAAGATAAAAGGGGAGGAAAGGAGGGAGGGAAAGAAAAAAAACTGAAATAGTAAAACGAAAAGCAAAAAAGATAAAAAGACTCCCCCCCCCGCCCCCTAACCAATATCTCCAAACAAACCCATCTCCCACTCAAACTTCCCCACAACCTTCCCATTCCCTAGAAAAAGGAAAACAAACAAACAAACAAAACAAAAAAAACGAAGGAGAGGCATAGAGCAAGGACAAGAGGAGTGGCGAGGGCCGAGAGAGCGTCCGCACGGGATCGTAAAGGACGCACGCGGCACCTTCCCTCATCCGGGACTCGGCACGGAAGCCTAGCGCCGGGGAGGAAGCGAAGAGAAGAGAAGCAAAGAGAAGAGAAGAGAAGCGAAGAGAAGAGGAATGGAAGGCCAGAAAACAGAAGAGAAGCGAAGAGAAGAGGAATGGAAGGCCAGAAAACAGAAGAGAAGCGAAGAGAAGAGGAATGGAAGGCCAGAAAACAGAAGAAAGCGAAGAGAAGAGGCCAGAAAACAGAAGAGAGAAATGGAAGGCCAAAAGAGAAGAGAAGAAGAGAGAAGAGAAGAGAAAGAGAAGAGCCCAGAGAAGAGAAGAGAAGCGAAGAGAAGAGGAAGGCCAGAGAAGAGAAGAGAAGCGAAGAGAAGAGGAAGGCCAGAGAAGAGAAGAGAAGCGAAGAGAAGAGGAAGGCCAGAGAAGAGAAGAGAGTAACACACAGGTGATGTAGTATAACAGGTGAGGAGAGCGTGGGAGAGTAGGGAGGGGGGGAGAGAAGGAGAGAGGGATTGGGAGGAGGGAGAGCGGGAGAGGAGGGGTTGGGGAGCAGGGAGAGAGGGAGAGAAGGAGAGAAGGAGGGAGGGTGAGAGTAAAAAGAAAGACCCCAAAATCCAAGCATCATTACGAAAGCCGATCTTGCCCCCCCACCCCCACCCACTCCCTCTCGAAGCAACATCCCCCCTAAAGAGCAGCAGAAATAACACCTTACAGCCTCCTAGAGCGAGCAAAGGGAGGGAGGGAGGGAGGGGGAGGGAGATTGGGTTTTGGGAGGGGGAGGGAGAATTGGGTTTTGGGAGGTTGGGAGGGGAGGGAGAAGGAGGGGAAGAAGGGGTTTTTGGAGGGTTTTGGGAGGGAGGAAGGGGGGAGAGGGTGTGGAAGGAGGGAGGGGGTGTGGAGGGAGGAAGGGGGAGAGGGTGAAGGAGGGAGGGGGTGTGGAGGGAGGAAGGGGAGAGGGTGTGGAGGAGGGAGGGGGTGAGGGAGAGGAAAGGGGTTTGGAAGGAGGAGGGAGGGAGGGAGGAGGTAGAGGGAAGGGGGTTTGGAGGATAAGGGGATGGAAGGAGGGGCAAATTCCCAAACGGGGAAAATATAGAAAATGGCAAAGGAAAAAAAAAAGAAAAGGATAAGAAAACCCCTAAGGCCACGAGTCCCGAGGCAAGAGAGGCGGAGGGGCGAAGGGACGTGGCAACGGCGCGTGACTCATCGCCCAGCGCCGCTCCCGCCGCCGCCGCCGCCGCCCACCCCGCCAGACGGACACGGACCCCCCCTCGCCCCTCTCCTCCCCCACCCCTTCCCCGGACACCACACCCTCTGCGCATTTCTGCTGGGGAGGGGGAGGGGGGAGAAGGGAGGGAGGGTCAGGGAGGAAAGGGAGCTTCTGGAACGGCTATTCCGGAAGAGCTTCCTACTTCCTCCTTCCTCTTTGTTATTCGTCCATCGTCCTCTCTCTCTCTCTCTCTCTCATACTTCCTCAACCTTTACCTCGTCTTCATAATCCTCCCTTATATTTCTTCCCTCACCCTCTCTCCCTCTCCCTCCTCCCCCAACACCCCCATACAGAGGACATAGAAATACAAAGCTGAACTCTATGACCTATAGAGAGGAGGAGGGGGGGAGGGGAGAGAGAAGGGGGAGAAAGAAGAGCGAAGGGGAGGAAAAGAAATAAGGGCGAAAAGGGAGGAAGGAAAGGGGGAGAGGATGGAACGAGGGAAAGACGGATATAAAGGAGGGAGGGGGGTGAAGGGAGGGAAAGGAATAGGAGGGGTGAAAGAGGGAGAAAGAGAGAGGACGTGGGAGTGAAGGAGAGACCCTCCCGCAAGCACGCGCCAAGCTATTTTGGAAGGGAAAGGCCTCCTGCTGACAGGCAAGCAAGCAAGCAAGCAAGCGAGAGAGCGAGCGGATAGCGAAAGAGAGAGAGAGAGAAAGGGAGGGGAGGGAGAGAGAGGAGAGCGTGCAAGCAGGGGACATGTCAGCTGCTCTCGCGCCTCCGCAACACGTGTTTGCTCAGTTGCTTGCTGGCAGTAGCCCGGCGACCATACACGAGGAGGCGAGGAAGATGGCGACAAAGAAGGGAGGATGCGAGAAGAGGCAAGGGGAAAGAGAGGGGAAGGGGGAAGCGGAAGGGAGGGGAAGCAAACGAAACTAGAAAAAAAGCAACATACCAATGACACAAACGTCGCAATCACACAGTTCTGCATGCGCTTGCCACACCCCTTCCCCTTCCCTCCTCCCCTCCCCCTCCCTCCCCCTTCAGAGCCGTAGCTTCCAGCCCGGGTTAATGAGGACACCGAGGGGAGCGGAGAGAGTGCCATCCGCAAGGCACCCTGGCACCTAGGGAGTCAGGTGCCGCTGCTCACCAGCGACGCTCCTCGCAAATGCAATGCGGAGGATGTAGGCCTATGGAAGGTCGCTGCCGGTTGTAGGC